GTCCGCAAACAAGCGAGCCAACCTTGAAGATCGGTGGCACTGATCAGGTTGCGTTCCTGCCCAGCCAATCGCGCGCGCGTCTACGCATCTCGTGTACCCAAAAGGACTACCAAAGGCGCCGACTTATCGAGGAGATCGTCGTCGTCGAAAGAAAGAAGCGCCCTTTGCAGATGGCGATCTACCGAAACGCCGGTGGCCGGCTCTGTCGGCTTCGAGAAGAATAATCCTTTTGGCGCGGAGTCAGTTTTCTCCTTCGAAGCGCGCGGTGAGATTACGGGACGGTAGCTGCGCCTTTCCCTGACTGATCGGAGGCAGTCGCGCGTCTCTGCAAAAGGTGCGTCCCGGTCGGATGAGGCAGGCCAGCTAAAAATCAGTCAAGTTGATCCGCACGGCAGCCGGGAAGCGACCTGATGTCTGCGAGTAGGAGTTTGTGTTTGCTGGGCTGGGGGACCCCTCAGGAGCAGCCGACTGGTGTCGGCTGAGAGTTTTGTTTTTATGAGCGTGGGAAAAAAGAAAGCGAAGGACGAGTGTTCCGCGTATTTGGGATTTCTAGCTGGATTTGGTGAATCCATTCCACCTGGTAGAACGCGTAGACGTGCCGAGTGAACCGCCAGGACAAGCTTTCTGGAACCTTGCAAGTACTTAAGAGGAACAGGTCGATCGTAAGAATTTGAGGAATTTGGCTTAGGATATAAGAGTTTGCAATTAGAATAACTATCAGATTTTCGCGCTAGATAGTTTACGTCCTTTCAAACCGAAGGAAGGTGATTCAATGAATTTTATTTGTTTCTGAAGAGACAGATGATTACGTTGTGACCTGTTGAAATGTTACATGTGTCTCATTAACCTTCCATGAACTACCGAACCACACCAATGAATCAATGTAAGAAAGACCGAGTGTGTCAAGTTAAAATTCCTCCAAACTTCGAGTTGGTTACGTTGTGGTTTGTTGAAGAGTTACATGTGTGTCATTAACCTTCCACGAACTACCAAACCACATCAAGGAATCAATGTAATAAAGACCGAGTGTGTCAAGTTTAACTTCCCCCGAACTTCGCAGTATGATATGGTTTAAATATTTCAGTTTATCCAATGAACAGGCGGGACAAAGGGCTTGTTGGGAATGCTCTGTTGCAAAAGGGAAACATGAACACATATTCAGACAAGCCATATAACTATAGTATGGTAAAGTGGCCAGAATTCATCCTGCTAGTTCATAATACGCTTTTATTAAGTATCAGCCCTCATGTGCGCGCAATAGCTTCTTTTTTTTTTTCGTGTTTAGGGGAGAGGAGTGCAAAAATAAGCACTGATGAGGTTTTCAATTATCTTCCTTCCTCGATCACACGAACCAAGCGTGTCTTTTGCATACGCATCTAGTGTCTTCGTTAAAAATACAAACAGAAAGATTGCTCTTAATGAATAATCAATTCAAAATAACTCGCAAGAGTAACAAAAAAAAAAAACGGGTCAAGGCATAAGGGCTTCTAAAGTAGAAAAATAACAAAATGACAAGACAGCCATGGAGCCGATGACCACTTGTAACACTTGATACATAAACTAAAGGTGGATCAGAATAATGTAACCTGATGAATTAGAAAACAGTAATCTGTACAAACAATCCCCCCTACAATTCCTTCTGTTTTGTGGACAGTGTACTCATGAAACAGCAGACTGTATATATGCCTTAAATGCTTTAAAGTTAGTGAACACTTCGCGAAGTTTAATTTTTTCGTGGTTTTCTCTTGAACCTCAATTCTGTGACTTTTATTGGTACACAAGAGAAAGCAACTGAGAGCTTACGTTCATAACTTGCACTTGAACTGAGCAAACCGTAAACCGGACAGCCAGTTTAGAAAAGGGGAGAAAACTTATGACCGAGTTCCCAAGAAAGGATGGACGACAGCGCCGGAGGACACCGTGGAATGATCCCGCTAACGAACTCCATCAGGGTGTAATGACTTCTTCTCCGGGTCGCGCAGTGCCGTTAAGGAAGGCAGCTGCCGAGACTCGTTCCCGAGAGGACTCCTCCTCTGCCCCGCCGAAAGCGCGAGGCGGCAATTCACCTAGTTACCCAGAGGCGCAACTTAGAAGCCATCGCCGTTTTGTAGCTTCCTCTTGCCGCGAGCGCCTGGAATGCCTGCTGCTTACTCATGGAGAGCATGAACGGGCATTCCAGTGGGAAAGACAGGAACGTGGTCCCTCTTCTTGCGTCACTCTCCTTCTCCCCCTCCCCTTCTCTTTCTTTTCTCCTGTGCTTTGTGTCTCTTATTTTCTCCGACTTTCAGTTTTGCGCCATTACCGAAGAACCCTCGATGCTTCCGAGATGTTCCCGAAGTCATTCCTTCTTCGTTTAGGACCCGTGCCAGGAAGTTGGCAGCAGCCGAAGAGTGCCTTGACGAAGCTCCACGCTGATTTATCGGCCGCCAGTCGGAAAGGAGGCTCGGCAAATTTCTTGGCGAGCGGGCCGGTCTCCGTGGCCGCGGAGAAAGCTCCGCGCGGTTTTTTTTGCGGCGCGGTCTCTCGGAAAGCGAAGAATAGTTACTGCAACAAGACGGGCGAGAAATAGGCAGCCCGGAGGGTTAGACCGAGTAGTTCGGACCTGGAGGAGAAAGTATATCTTAATATATTTTCGCGTGTGTCTTCTCTGTCGCGCTCTAGACGGTCGAAGAAAGAAAAACAAGATAGCAGTCAAGGATTTCTCGAAAGCGTGGGAGGGGTTTTCTTTTTGCCTGGGACATCGGCAGTGAAGAGACAGTTGCGCTCAGCAGTTGGGCTGTCACGGCTGCGTATTATGCAATGTTATTCTTGGAGCGGGCGACAGTAACGAGCTGCGGACGTGTTGCTGCCAAACTTGTGGCGAATCGTCAGCTGGAATTATTTAAGCGGTTCAACTCGAGTGCATAACAGGCGACGGGCTTACTCATACCCCCGAGCGTCACGCTATAAAAGGTTTGTGTGTTCACCTGCCTGGAGAGCACGTAGGCATTCAATCGCTGCGAAGGGCGGAATGATCCCAGCGAACGACGAAGCTCCCAATATGGCTAGACATATAAAATGTTACGTGAGCCTGCAGGTACACTAAGCATGACATCCTACTTTTTATTGTCCCTACGCACATTGAGTTTTACTTCTAGTCGTGTATGAACACTCGCGTTCACCAAACTTTTTAATTGTTTAAAAATTATTCTTGTGCCGCGTATTAGCCAGGAAAATGATCGCAGAGGTGTTCCTGAGAGTGTATGAGGGCCTATAACCACTGCCAAATTGAGAAATGCAGGTCGTGGCTTATTTATGAGCACGCTTATTGCGTCGTGATTCGTTCTTAAAATGTACCGTATAGACTACAAAAGAGAATTGGAAATATTAAAGTAGAGTTGTCATGTAAAGGTGCCACGGCCCTAAATTTTCTGCTAACATATATTGTAAGCGCCTCCTTTATATTGTTAATTTCTACGGCTAGATATATAGATTTTTTAATCGCGTAGGATTCGCAAGACGTTTATTATTACTCATTAAAATTATAACCTACAAAGTTCTAAACTCTTTTTTTTTTACAAGGAGTTTATAAATTTGGGACGATTCACGGTAACCAAAATCATTTCGACTAGGGCTGGGCACTTATCGATTAACCTACCAATTAATCGATTATTGTTTTAATCACGATTAATTGTCTTAACCGGTTAATCGGTTACATTTTGATAAACAAAAAGTAAAAATGTGTTGCTTTCACTACTCAAACGTGGACGAATACACATCTTAGTAAAACATATAAAATAGCGCAACAGAAACAAGGACAAGAAGTAAACAGGACAGGCGCTATTTTATATGCGCTATTTTATATGCGCTATTTTATATGTTTTACTAAGATAAACCAACTAGCCCAACAACGTACCTTACGAATGCACATGTTTGAAGGCAAAATTTAGGTGAAATTTTAGCCTAAAGGAAACTGTAGGGGTGAAGTTTGTGACTCCAAACAAGTGAAGAACTTTATACCTGCCCCAGCCACTTCAACGCCATCCAAGTGTCTGTTTAGCACAGCGAAGGTTATTGTAAACAATAAAAGGAGTTCGCTATCGCCGGAAACTATCAACGAACCCCTTTGCTTTTGCGGTTGAGGTAAGAATTCGTAAGTGGGAATCTTTTGACTTTTTCTCGACTACACACCCAATTTTATTTAAAATCTGAAATTGTAAATGTTGCCATTTATCTTATGTTCATAGAAAATGCATAACTAAAATTTTGACTTTTTAAAAACTAATATAGATGGGAATGACTAAAACCGAGTATTTAACCGATTAAAGGGTGCCGATTAATCGGGTTAAAATTTTCAATCGAGGCCAGCCCTAATTTTGGTGAGCAATGCCCCGTCGAGGAGTCGTTCAGTTCTGAATTCCCGCATTCTGTTTTTACCATAGAATATGACAGAACGCATGAAATGCAATACAACATTCCATCTCACCAGTTTTGAGAATCACTATCACAGGCCCAGATCGTGTAACTCAAAGCCTCCGCACCCTGCCTCCTTCCTTCCCCTCAATTTGTGCGGCACTGCGGACATCGCACATGAGCAAGCATATCTGATGTCATTATAAGTCAGATTAGTTTTTTGTCTTATACGTTCACACAGGAAGTTTGTGCCTTGTAAAGACTCACTTCGTTCCTTGCACGCGAGAGAAAGCTTGCAGTGACATTGCTGCATAAGGGCGGCCATTGTTTTAATGTAAAGACTGCTTCAATAAGATCCATTTAATTTCAGACCAAGACAAACAACACACCCCTGTCTTTTCCACCAATACCACTTCAATGTCGGTGGTGAGGGCGGGTTCGCCCATCGTCTTCTACTACGGGCTATAGGTTCCGGCATATCGGACTAACGCACCGCAAAAACAGTGGGACGCAGTCAGGTCAAGTCATCGTTGTTCATAGCAGAGCAAATGAACGAATCTCTAATATCGCGAGCAGCTCCCAATCGGCTATTTTGTTCCCCTCTGCAGACACGCCACCCATGTCCCAGCGCAACTTCCCGGCGTCTTTCTGGAACTGCAACCAGCAGCCTTCGGCGTCCAACTCCCCGATCATGGGCGGCGGCAACTCGCTGACGGGCGGCGCCAGTCCCGGAGACCTGTACTCGGCGGACCCGTACCACCCGCACCATCCGCACCACCCGCACCACCACCATCACCACCACCACCATCACCACGCGGCCGCGGCCTCGGCCAATGCCGCCGCCCTGCACGCCAGCCTGCAAAACGACCCGTGGCACTACGCACTGACTGCCCCGCAGACGGCGCCGTACCGATCGTCGGCGATGCACGAGCTCGCGTACTCTGCGGCGGCGGCAGCAGGAGGGTCCCACCGGTTCGGGACGCAGCAGTACGGCTCGCTTCTGCTGCAGCCGTCGGTTAGGTCTTCGAGACTGACGCCCGTCAGCGCCACGTGCACGGCACTGGACAAGACTGCCGACGCGTGGGCGGCGGCGGCTGCCGCTACTCCCGGTCGCTACCATCACGACCAGCTGGCCGGAAACATCGCGGGCCACGTGGACGGAAACTACGGGGGCCCCCATTACGGCTCCATGGGCGCCGCGGCGGCCGCCATGACAGGTAACGAGGCCTTTCTATTCTGACCACCAAAGTTACGGCTTTCTGGTGGGATGACGGTTCACTCTGATTCGTTTCGTCTAGAGATGGTATACTGCGGGGGCTGGTTCACACCTTTGCGTTTGACTGCGATCGTGCGCGTTGCGTTTCCTCAGAACCACTTACGGTGAGAGAACACATTGATATACACTGGCGCCATCTATACCAGGTAGTCCTGAAACTGCGTATTACTGACGGAAGGATCTGCAGTAATTTCGACATCAAATCCTATGCACTTCCTATGAGAATTGACTGCTTCGAAGTTACAACACTGTCATAATTATTTCAAGGGAAGGATGCTTAAAAGCAAGGATGCTTAAAAGGAAGGATGCTTAAAAGCTTAAAAGGATGAAGGGAAGGATGCTTAAAAGGATGAAGGGAAGGATGCTTAAAAGGAAGGATGCTTAAAAGAATATGCAAATATATACTCAAGTTGAGGGTGTTCCAAGGCTGTCTCATAGATGGTGCCACTGTGCTAGCGTCTTCTCTGGTTGTGAGTGGTTGCGAGGAAACACACCGCACTTGAGCACACTCAGCCATAAATGTGTGAACCAGCCTTAAGTATGCGAACGGTTATGCTCCACAAACCCTTCATCTACAACGCGCTTGCAACATGCTGAGTGACAACTTTAGATGCTCTCAGCAAGCTCTCAAGGCTTTTGTGAAAATAACAGCTATGTGCATTCTGCTGTCCAGAAACACGCAATGGAGATTTGACGTTCACTGCGATGTTTGAAATCCCTTTTTAATTCGCACCTTTTATAGATCGTAATATTACTAGGAAAACAGGACTCGTAGGGAAATTTACAAAGCAGGCCCTCACTTTTAGCCTATGTGATCATGGAGAGCGAAGTCGAAAATAGTAACTAAAAGTTCACAAACCTTGTGTTTAGACGCAGCAGGTATTTTAGAAATGTTGAGGAAAACTGCAGTATAGCCATGGCGGGGCGACGTTAATGAAGGCTTCTACGGAAACTATGTAAACAACGCCTCCAACGTTTATAAATATATGCAAGTTTTCTTTAGGCACTAATTGTGTAAATTTTAAAGACATCATGAAGTTTGGGCGTGCTGAAACCCCTGTGCCAAACACTATCAGATGAAGAAATGTTATGTATAATTTGCATTGGAAGTTATGTGTTTCATTCGGTCCTATTCTAATCCAGTACCAATAACCTGAACTATATCTTATGATTATGGTAACTAATAGCAGAGTACGCGTTTTGTCATTGGTATGTGGTTTTATTTTCTATTTGCACCAGATGGTGTGCAGCAGAACAATAGAATGTTTGCAGGGTTTGACAGCCCTTCGTAGAACCTCCTTGCGTTCGATTGGTGTAAATGATTGGGTCTGATGCTGTGGTTTGCTGTTTAGGACCTTGGTCCGAAATAGCCAAATGTTTATACAAATGAAACGCTCTTCATTTAAAGTGAAGCTTCTCTTGTGTGGAAAATAAAGCCGATGCTACCTCATCCCAATTGGTTATTCCTATCAGCTTATTAACCTTTTGCAGTTATCGGTTTCATCACCGTTGAAGCTAAGTGCAAACGTTTATCCGTTTGTCGGTTGGAAACGAACTGAGTAAATATCCCACTGAAAAACCTCTACAAAAAAAATTGACGAGCAAAAGGCTCGAAACGGGGAACCGGATTAGTTTCATACAGTTCGACCCCTGTGCTTCAGTTCAGCACGTTTTCATATGGGTTATCTCAATTACAATTTCTGCTTATATCAAACAAAGAACTCTAATCTATGAGTTTTATGCTTTAATGACAAAATATACTATGAAACACTCGGGGTTCTTTTGTGTTAAAAAGTAAAGAAAGAGCATCGATTATACTACATAAATGAGAACTCCTGCTTGTGAAGGCGTCGCGGCTACCTCGCGTTTTCTCGAAAAGAGCCTAACATTATGCCGGTGAGGGCTTACCACCAAATTCCCGTCGAACCCTGTGACGTAATAAAAACTGCAATGTTTATCCCTTTTGGCATGTATGAATACATCAGGATGCCCTTCGGCAACGGTTTATGGACCAGGTGCTTCGTGAAAGCACCTGGTTCATAAATTCTTACGAACTGTTTCTGAGAAAACGCGACAGTGCAGAAAATATAACTCGTCTATTTTCTCATTGGTACTAAAGTGAGAGCTGCTGTCAGAAGAACAATGCCAAAAACAATTCCAACGAGTGAACGCAAAAATCAAATAAAAATTAAGATCAACCAGGATCGACCCTTGCAGACGACTAAATAAAGCTTTTTCCCTGTGTTTGAAAGAACTTTCGGCGAAAAGGCTCTGTGGGCACGGAGTGTTAAGATTTCACTCCATAGTCCAAACCACTCCGCACCTCTACAGCATTTTTGTCGAAGCTTGCGCTCGAGTATGAAGTTGTCTCTTAGTCATGCTCGAAAGTCGCACCACTTTCCTCGAGACCTCAGTGAGCACTAGTTTAGATGTTTTAATCTAAGAGAGGTCGGAGTTAAGAAAAAAGACAGAGGTAGCGGATCATAAGATGTTCCGCCACGTTAAGCCCAAGTGTTGCCAACCCCTTGTGCCAACTGGGAGCGTTCCAACAGGGGGTTGGGTCGCTGTGTCCAGATCCCAACAACGGAGGCTACATGCTGGAGTTGTACAAGTTCCAAGCGATGCATGTTTACCGGTGAAACACTGCGGCATCGAACACCGTAGGTTCTCTCCGTCCCCAAACCGACCGGCCGCTTGGCCCTAACCAGAGCGAAAAATGCACGATGGTCTTCTGACAATGCTCCTTCTTTGGTTTGGGTGGTGGTAGTGCCCCCATTGCGGGCGCTTAACAAGCAGTGGAGCCCGCGCTTGAGTGGCCGTTTTCTTACTAACCATTTAACACGTGCAACCTCGTATGGGTGAATCGTTGTCTGTTTTGGTGTGGAGATGAATGGTTTGCGCTTAAATACCAAGCCGTTTGCTTCCGTTCGGTTTGTACCAAAGAGTCTCAAGTGAGGTGACTGCGATACGAGTATTATTAATTCTGCGTAATAATGACTTTCTACCGGAATATCGCGCTGTTGATAATTTAAGATGTCTACAATCAAATCAAGTTGATTATTAACGCGTAAATTGTATATAAATATACTGACTACCAAGTCACATCACAAAAAAAAATGTTCATCGGGGAAATTTTGAGCGGAGAAAAGCTCGCTCATCATTTCGCAGACCCAATAAAGAATATGACATTTTTCTACAGAGGAATATAAACAAACTGGCTAAAAGACTGTTACGGTTACATAACTTAATTTACATAAAGTATATTGCATGATTAGTTTAACAAATAGCTTTAAATGCACTGACACTGGACCATCTTGAATGTCGCGTTCGAAACAATTTTTATTCTGGTAGCTCACATTTTGGCATCCAATTAGTTAAAAACTCCCGTTGTAAAACATATTTGAACTCTTTTAGTACAATAACAATGCTTTTCCATAAAGGCTACAAGATTATAAATGTTCTAATGTATACCCTTTGTTGTTGTTTTTTTTTGTTTTTTTTTTAAATCCTGGAAATTGGGTCAAGGGAATGTTTTTAGTTCGAAACGTTCCAGGCAGTTGAGAATAATAACGAACTTTTGTATGCCAGCAAGTCAAACTAAAATGATATTGCATCTTAGATCGCACTTTAAAAGCACACTTTAGAAGGGTTTTAAGGAGAAAAGCAGGCGTTCTAGTGTGTCAGATATGTTCCACAAAGGTATTTTTGTTATCAGAACAGATTTGCAAGTGCCTGCTATATATCACCCTGTCCTCTCCGCTTTGGTAGGTCCCCTTGACATGACGAAACGTCGTCGCGTAGCAACCATTTCACAGAGGAACCTATCTATAGAAATTAAACTAGAATGTAGTTTTCCCCAATTAACGTATTTTGGCTGTTATTTTATGCGAAGAGTGTTGACCCGGTGATTTATTTTTCGCTGCAAGCTAGATTATAAGAAAACAATAAGGCGGATGCCCGTACCCTTCGTTAACAATGAGGTCGATTTATTTAAAGATGAAGTAAATTTGTCGAAAAAAGCAATGACATCAAATAATGTACCAAACAACTGTAAAGTGACTTCATATGAGAGTTATACAAACGCTTCTCTAATTCTTTTTTCATTAAAAACCGAGAGTGATGGTAAGGGTCATATACATAAGATACGTCGCGTTTTGTGCTCCGTCCTCTGTGTTTATTCTTTCGTGCGTATATTAGATGATTTTCTTCGCGCCATTTCGTTCGCTTTCTCTATTTTCCTAAATGCACGGAGCTTATAAAACAAGCCTGATAATATCGGTTTGTATACAAGGTTTTTCCGGAAACGCGGACAAAATCGCTCCTTGATTATGGTTGATTCCGTAGTAGTCTGTGTCAAAGGGACCATTAAGAAAAATTATCAGTGTTCAATACAAATGGGGGATTATTTATTATTGAGGATTTAAATTGTTAATGATTTATTTTAAAGGCGTGGTTGCAATTATAACCTTGCTGGGCATTCGTGAAAACGATGGCCGACAAGCACCCATCCGCTCAGAAGGGGGTGTGTCTCGACCCTTCATCACGTTTTTAATAAGAAAATCGGCGTCGTGCGATTGTAATTTTTGAAGTTTTAGGGTGCTTAGGTTCGGTAAAATCAGTTACGAAAAAGAACAGACGATCGCAGAATCCCCTTTAGTGCCCGTTTAAACTGCGTCTCCAGAGGCGTACGCTACTACCGCCTCCCTTGGGTGGTTCTTTTTTATTGCACCAGTCCAAGCGATGTTGCAATTGCCCTGAAATATGAATGTTAAATGCTGCCTAAATATGAGAGATAGGCGAAACAATGCCGAAATTTCGATGATCACACAACCAAGAGGAGTCGCTATATGGTCCTGTACAACGGATATTCACAGACTCGTAGGTAACGCATTGCGAGTGACACGTTCTTGCTCGTGTAACTCGCTACTTCTCTCGGTAACG